AAAAAGGCAGAGCTCAGGACTATTTTTGAGTATAATTCATTGTTTAATGTCTTACATCAATAAGTTGGTGTTTAGGGGGTTTGCGTCAAAAGCAAAGGGACATGTTATAAATTCCAATCTTTGTTTTATGATCCTAGTTTCTTTGGGATTTGTCTTTTTTTTTGTTCTTGTTGTTGTTGTGATCTATAGTGTTTAGTGTGAGACAGAGAGATGTAAGTACTTTCTCTAGACCGACCAAATTGTTGAATAATTTTCTTACAATCAACTAAACCTTTTTAATGCCTCTATGACACTTGGTTTAGGAATGATCAATACAAAAATCTCAACATGCGCATTGTAACTACACCTAATATGGGCATTGTGTGTACATTATTTTGAACATTTACTGGTATGGATCGGAATTTGAACCCTGGAGGACCCTAAATTAAATGCGAGCGATTATGGCCATCAAAGATTCTGCGTGTTTGATGCAAGTTTCTGAAACATAAAAAAGCAATATTTTGTGTTTACAATTTATAAAACCTTATAATTAACACATCGTGTAAGTTTAAACATAAACATATTTCATTATTTTTGGCGTCTAAAACAGGTGAGTAGTCAACTACTAGTAGTTTGAGACATTATGTTGATATATATTAGGTTTCTCAATCAATAATCTTACTCTTTTCATCTTATCAAAACTGCATAAACTATGATAGTCATCTAATCTTGTTATATCTTATCTTAGCTGTCAAAACTTATCTCATTAGTTGTTATTAGTTTGGTGTCTTAGAATTCTAAATATCTAACCCCTGATAATCAGACAATCTAGTTGTCCTAATTTGAAAGTCTTGTAGACATGTAATCACATTACTTGGTAGTTGTACAACGCTATATCTGATCCCAGATTATATGATCCGTGTGTTACTAAGTATAATAATTATGGTTTCTTGATATACATGAACTTTATATTCGTGATTCTCGAATTAAATCCAGGTTTGCGTAGCCGCGCAATCTTTCCTAACGTTGGACGTCTATTTGAAGCGACATTATTATATTTTCGTGAAATGTAACTCAAGTTTTTACCAGAAAAAGCGTTCTTAAAAAAAGATGAATATGCGTCATCATTTCTATTTTTAAGTATAGAAATTATTACACTCAAAGTTTCGAATACATCAAAAAATATAAAAAATAAAGTGAAAAACTAGCAAAGTACAGTGTACATTACTCACAGTAGTGAAGAAGAAGCAGCCACCTGAAAAAAGAAAACGTAAAAGAAAATAAAAAATAAAATCTGAGGAAAAAAAGGAAAATTAAAAAAAAAAATTAAGAGAGAAAGAGACAGAGAGTGACCCCACAAAGCACCCATCTTCAACCCTAACTCCGATTTTTCTCACACCTCCTCAATCGAAACTTTTTCTCTCTTCTCTCTCTTCTCCTCCCATGAAAAGCGTCGGAAAATGGGGAAATACATAAGGAAGAGCAAAATCGATGGAGAAGCCTTAGCTTTAATGGATGTTTCTCCTTCTTCGCTTGGTGTTCTTACTCGAGCTAAGTCCTTAGCTCTTCAACGCCGCCTTCAAAAACCCTCTTCTTCCTCCTCGCTACCGACTTCTCCTTCTCCTAATCCGCCGTCTAAACAGAAGCAGAAGCAGAAGACGACGGACTGTGGTGGCTCATATCTTCAGCTCCGGAGTCGTCGGCTCCAGAAGAAGCCTCCAATTGTCCTGATTCGTTCGACCAAACGGAGAAAGCAGCAGCGGAGGAAAGAGACATGCGGCCGTAACCCTAACCCTAATCCCCAAAAATTGGATTCTCTCGTTGGTTCGATTCGTGGGTCTAGGTCGGATTCGGTTGCTGAGAGTGCTGTGTGTGGTAAAGAGAAGGGATTGATTTGTGAAATCAACAAGGATCCGTGTATTGAAACTTCATTTGGGGAAAATTTCTTGGAGCTTGAAGGCAGTGAAAGGTATATATATATTTTTTTTTTTGTCTTCCTATATTTTCCCCCAATTTTATTCCTTTCAAATTCAACCTTTTTTGGGGAGGATTTCAGATTTTTGTAAGATACACAACTTATTAAACCCGTGAATTTGATTTGTATAGTGTTATTGGCGATGAATCTGTTCGGTTTTCTTAGAAAATTATGGTATTGAATTTGGATTTTCCGTTGGTAATTTGAAATCAAATTTTTTTACAACAGAAATGAAAAAAAGACCAAATTTTCTTTAATTTTTCTTAATTGATACTGAACCTTTTCAATTATTTTTCCGATTTGAAATTTAATGTTTTTTTACCTTATGTATGATATGATGCCTTCTTTTCTTTATCTGACACACCCGACTCTTCTCTCTGTTTCCGGGAAAAAATATATATATTAATCAATAAGTTTTTTTTCTTTCTTTTTTCTTCAATTACTTGTGCAACTAATAAGAAGGTGATACTGACAATTGGTTTTTCTTCGAAAATTTGTATCTGCTTTGATGTAAAGAATGTTGGATTTGAGGGTATGAAACGGCTCTAAAAACTCTAGAAAGATTTGATATTGTTGATTATCTTGGTGAATTTTCAGATTGTGCAAAGTTCTTAGAAATGCTTGATTGCTTTGGTCTTTTAGGTTCTCTCCCTTTTTGGTAGGTTTTAATGTTAAGATCAATCAAAAGTCGAGATCTCGTCAAATATAATTTGAACCAGTACTTTTATTCTGAATTGGTATAAACTTTTCAAGCATTGCTAAAGCAAATAACCATTGGGGGTTTCGCCTTTGGTTTATGCTTTTTGATCTTTGAACCACAAATCAACTAACAACTACTCATTATCCTTTTCGGTAGAACATGACTAGATCAACTTTAGCTAACTACAGGCAATAAAGTCTGCTTGCTTTTGCTACTAGTTAAGGAAAAATAGTTATGTGTTTGCATCTTTGAGAAGATTGTTTGATTACTTACTCTCTACTTCAACAGGACCACAAGAGAATCCACACCATGCAGTTTGATAAGAAAGCCGGAAACCATCACAACCCCGGGATCGTCTACAAAGCTTAACAATGGTATAAGTGACAACAGCGACCAAAGAGAAGAGAGTTTGTCGGGCAGCCATCGTCACCTACCAACTACACCTGAAATGGACGAGTTTTTTTCGGGTGCTGAAGAAGAACAACAAAAGCAATTCATTGAGAAGTATGAGTTTTCCGTTTGATCTGTTCTGTTCTGCAGTGATTACACCGTTCTGGTTATGAGTTTCCCATTTGATCTGCTCTGTTCTGCTGTGTCCCTGACGGATTCTGTCAACACCCTTTTTTTTTTCAGGTACAACTTTGATCCTGTGAATGAACAGCCACTACCAGGGCGGTTTGAATGGAAGAAGGTAGATGATTAGAAACAACAAAAAGGGGGGGTTAATAGTTAATACAGACTATATTAACGTTTTCCTGCTAATTATCGGTTTGATCTTATTTCCATCATCCGTTTCTTAACTTTCCCAACATGTAAAGAACTTAGGATAAAAACCCATGTAGCGTTTTCAAATTGGTGTCTGTAACATAAGTGGCTGAAAAGGGTTTGTGTAACACATAACTGATACCAATCCTTTTTATGTCTAAACAGATCACCTTAGTAGTATTACTAAACCATAAGAGAAGGTTTTTAGAAGTAACCCAAAGTCTGTTAGGGTTTAGCGTGTAGGGTTTAGAGTTCTTTCCGTTAATGGTTAGTGAAGTCTTTTTATAATTCTGGTACAGGGACTCTGCATTCTCTTATAACTCTTTGTCCTGTAACCATTTTAAAATCTATCTATTTGTGTGTATACATGTACTGAATCTCAAACTCTATTCAATAAAGACTTACTCCTTCTCTTGTCTTCTTCTTCTCTCACTTCATCTTAAGTTCTTGTTCTTATCATCATCATCATCATTATGGTCCATGTGTTGTGTTCTTCAGACATATAACATCACGATGACAGGTAAGCAACATACACATATGTGCAAATAGTATACTGATAATAGAGAGACAGAGAAGCTGTTCGTTATGGATATGGATAGTGTCTCATAGTGGTCTTTGTTTTGTCACTGTCTTCTCACTAAAATCAAAAGTGTTAGAAAGATTCTCTTTCTCTTTCTCTTTCTCTCACTCTTGTGTATGTGTGTGTCCATTGTACTTTCCACTTAGTGATTTGTGCCCACTATTTTATCTTAATATGCAAATTTGTGCCCACTACACATCATCGTCATCATCATTGTGATCGTCTTTTGATCAATCAAAAAATTCGTCGCCTCTTTGCTTGTCACAAGATTCGTTTTTGTGATTGTATTGATTTATAGTCTCGACATGACGTCGTTGCAACAGTTGCCAAACTTCCACAGAATCCAATCGAACGGTTCTTTAAATGTTTCATTTATTGCTCTCAAAGTTAACAAGCATCGAACTTTGTGTCCGCGGTTGCGACTTGCGGCCAAAGCGGTGGAGAGGTACAAAAAGAGGGACCCACAGTTACAGAATTAGTTTTGGGTTCTTTCATTTTTTTTTGTCTTGGGATATGGTTTGGTGAGCTCAAAGTCACTAACTGCCACACACTCTATTCAGCCACCAAAGAAAACGTCTCTTTCTCTTTGGAATTCGTAATCTGTTTTCCTCTTATCTCTTTTACGAAGTTAATTAGTAAGATCTTGATCTTGTTTAAAGAGTTTCTTGGTTATTTTTCCCCCTCTAAAGATTCATCTTTTGACATTTGCAAGGTAAGAAAAAAGTGTTATGATTCTAACCAATACTTAACCACAGCTTCAAACATATCAGTCAAGGTCACAACTTTGGTTTCACAATATGAATTATATAGATCAATATCAGTTGCATTCCGGCAAGAATGCTGTTCAGATGCAATGTCATCACAACGATTAAGAAACAGTGCAAAACACATTCAAACAAGGAAAATTGGATGCAGAGAAACAAGAACAAAGGGAGAGAATTTGAGATTTGTCTTTTCAAAAGACTTAAATCTCTTTCTCTCACTCTCTGTATATATAAGATATGTGGGCGTAATTCTCAGAAAAAAAGAAGACTACCCTGATTTTGTGTAAATACGAATCCCAACTGCCAAACCGAGAATGGCAAGGGGTACGAGGAACTGGAGGATCTTGATTATGAACTCAGAGGTCTTGTCTTGATTGTAGTGAGGCTGTTTAGGAGGTGTGTATTTGGTTTTCTTTGGGATTGTTGTTGGATCAATCTCTCCTACGTAGTACTGTTCCATCATCTCTCTAGCGCTCTCGCTGTGACCCACGTCCTCAAAATCATCCGTTGCATCCTTACCTTTAAAGGTGAAGAAGAATAATGATTCAAAATGCTATGTACAGATCAACACAATGAATTTGGCTTTGAATCATCAAAGCCGAGAGCTTGGAGATATTTGTGTTTATACAGACCTGTTGAAGACAAGAGAACTTCATCACCACCAGGATGGTCTTCAAGGAACTTGGTGACATTGTACACCTGCGTTTGAATTAGGATATGAGGAAAGGAAGTCAAGCAAACGAATACCCAGTTATCAAACTTCTGATTTGAAGATCTCCTGTTAAATCGTGAAGTCTAAAAACGAAAAGACCCACATCACATACTTATGATTCCAATGCAAGAAACAAAGGAGCTACAGAGAGGAAGGTCATAAGGTTCTTGCTCCGTTTTTACTAAGACAAGATCAACAGTGTTTTGGCGATGTGTCTGGGTGCATATAACTAGAAGCAAACAAACAACTCCACTAGCATCTATGTTTATAGTTAGATTTGGGGTTTTCTGAACTTGATAAAGGATTTGTTCATGTACATAGGAAGCTTATTATGCCAAATAAACTCCGAATAACCCTACCCAAGTTGCAAAAATGGAACTTTTGATGGAACAACACACCACAACGTTTCAAAGTTTCTAACTTTATTGTGCTGGGATTGAAGCAGATGATCTATGCATTTCACAAACCAATCAATGAAAAAAAATAGGAAACAAGTTGTTGTTATGAAAGGAGAATCAGTAATGGGGATCTAAAGATTCCTTAACACAAAACCAAAATGGTCGATCTTCAGGGCCAACTACTGGTCAACACGTGTCAGGTTTTTAATTCCAACATAGATCGATGTGGAAGAAATCAAACATATTTGGTCGGTATAAGGCTAGCATTTCTCCATCTTCAATTCAAAATCAGATAAATAGATCAAAAGAGCTTATTCCCTAGCATATGTGTAATGCTTACAAGTTTTCCACTTTATTCATCTAAAGATTTGATCCAGTTAAGAAAAAGATTAACATTTTATCAATCTTAGAATTTATGAGACTTCAAAAGCTTAATCTCATGCAAACACCAAGACGGCCACAAAAGGGAATTTAAAGCACGAGATCTCTTATTTCAGAGCTAAGAATAAGGAGAGAGAAGAAAGAACCTTTCCATTGATGACAATCCAACAATCATGAGCGTGATTATGCTCTGAAACTTCTGAAAGAGTGAAGATCTTTGCTTCGTCCCCCATTGTTTTGCTTCTTCACTAGAATAAACCCACCAAAACCTGACACTGAGATTTAAAGCTAAAAACTTTATACGAGAACGAGAAGAAAAAGAGAAGAGTTGTTGGGTTCAGACTTCAGACCGATTTAAATCCGGTTTAGTTTGTTTTGGTTTGTTGCATTGATAAGGGATCGGATTATGAGTGTAGGTGTGTGTGAAAACCGGTTTGGTAAAATTGAATTGTGAATTTATCCTCAAGTACTTCGTAACTAATGGCAACTCGACTATTTTGAAGTTTTGGTATTCATCTGACCAAATCTTGGAAACACATGTACCAATGTTAAACTGGGTTCATTTGGTTTGGTATAGTTGCTTGTCCCGGTCGGGTGGGTGGGGTAGGTGGGCAGTGCAAACGTTGCAGTTGTGCTCCAATTTTGCCTTTTTCATTCAAGATCGGTAGGTGAATGATGTGCAATAAATTTTAATATGATATATATAAGAATTCTTTTGTAAAATATTCGACTTTGTTTATATATTTTACATGGACAATTTGTTCTTTTTTTTTTGGTTTGTAATCAGAATTATAAACCCTTTTTTATAACTGATCCATGAAAATGTATTTAAAAAAAACTTGATAGCCAAATAAATAGAAGTTTTATAGGTTGATTTGCTGTTTTTTTATAGATAATTTGTTTACTTGTATGGTTTCATCTTGCATAAATGTAGATCAAATTCATTCAATCGATATCATACATCTTTTGTCAAACATTGATCCAAATAGCAAAAAATAGGTCCAATTTTTCTTCGTAAGGTATGTTATTTTATTATGCTGAGTTGCTATAAATTTGATTGATATAGCAATTAGCATAGGTCTTTATATTGTCGTTTAAAATCTAAAAACTAACAACGACCAACCAAATTGGACCAGTACAGTACTAGTAGAGGCATTTTACGAAATTTAATATGTGAGTGGTCTATAACTTAATTTTCATAAAATATGAGACTACAGTATAATTATGGTATACATTCGGGGCAGTTTTTAATTTCTTGACTTGTTGGGTAAGTCTCTTAATATTCGATAAGTTCCACACCATAGTTTGCATCTAAGTCCCTGACTACTTTCTTCTCCTACTTCTCCTGCTTTTATTTTTTACTTTCGGTCTCATAAACTCAACACTTCAAATCCGGTAGAGATTCAAGACGGGTTTCGTCGGAGGTTTCTTGTTCATTATCTGATTTGCTTTCTCTTAGGGTTTTATCGATTTCGATTACAGTTCTTCATCAATGGCCGCCGCTATGGTTAGCTCCGCCGGAGGGTTACTGGCAATGCTCAACGAGCCTCAGCCTTCCTTGAAGCATCATGCGCTCTCGCATCTCAACAACTTGGTTGATCGATTCTGGCCCGAGATCTCCACTAGTGTTCCGATCATGTAATTCTCTTTTAACCTTTTTTTTTCCCGGTTTGAGGATTAGGGTTTTGTCTCCCACTTGATCTGTTTAGCTTTCTAGATAATTGGAGAGAAAATTGTGGGATTTGGATGATTTGGGCTCTCTTTGTGCTTGGGTCTCCTCGATTTGTGTATTTAAGTTCAAAACTTTCTGTGTTAGGCATAGATAGTTTGTGGCGATGCAGATTTAATGGTTTCGGATTAGAAAGGAAAGTGTTTTCTTTGACATAACTAGCTTTAGCAAGTTGCTGTAGTGATCTTTGTAAGTTATAATGAATGAGCAATTGATATCCGAGTTTAGGAAATAGTTATAACTTCTTCCTGGACATGATACTGTGCTTTTAGATGTTCTTTTACTGATATAAGGTAAGAGGATTTTTTTTTCCTTTTGCTTCATCATCTTACCTGCTAGTGGTATAAATTCAAGTTGTAGATGGTGCAATGCTTAGGTTTTATGATTCCTGCTTGATAACTTGACTCGAGAGACATTTTTATGAGCAGAGAGAGTTTATACGAAGATGAAGAATTCGATCTGCATCAAAGACAGCTTGCTGCTTTGCTGGTCTCTAAGGTACTATTTTAGCGTTTTCTGGTTGCGGATAATATTTGATTTATTAGTGGAGGAATGTGTAATTGTTACACTGAACGGCATTATGCTTATTTTTTTCTCCATAAGAAGTGTATAGTGGTACGGTGGTAGAAGGGTGGAGTGTAACCTTTTTCTAATCACGTTATATGATTGTATTACAAGATATGTTTCTCTTTATGATCTCAGGTTTTCTACTACTTGGGCGAGCTTAATGATTCGTTGTCCTATGCCCTTGGAGCTGGACCCTTATTTGATGTTTCTGAGGATACTGATTATGTTCATACGCTTCTAGGTGAGGATTGAGTAACTTGTTTCTGTGTTTACTCTTTTTCTTTGCAGTTCTCTGACTGTATACTGTATACTCTAGCTAGGGTACTGTTGAGTGTAATATGCACATATATCAACGTGACTCAATGCAAGAAAAACATATATAGCTTGCATGACTTATCATCTAAAAAGTAGGCATGTAGCTTGCTCATTCAGCTATTATTTTCTATAATTTTAAGTAGTATAATCTTTTAAATAAGATAGGATAAAATGATTGATGACTGCTTGAGTGTACTGGTAAAATAAATGTTAACTCATCAAATGCTTCTCTTATGTTTTCAGCCAAAGCAATAGATGAATATGCCAGTCTCAGATCAAAGGCAGTCGAGTCAAATGAGATGGTGGACATTGATCCCAGGCTTGAGGCCATTGTTGAAAGAATGCTTGAAAAGTATATATGCCTACATATTTACTGCTCTAGCCATATTAGTGCTTCAATTTTTCTAACGTGGTTTTCCGTCTGCAGATGCATCACTGATGGGAAGTATCAACAGGCCATGGGCATTGCGATAGAATGCCGGAGATTGGATAAGTTGGAGGAGGCTATCACAAAGAGCGATAATGTTCAGGGAACTTTATCATATTGCATCAATGTTTCTCATTCTTTTGTTAACCGCAGAGAGTATAGACATGAGGTAAGAGTAATGGTCTCAGCAGAAAATAGATGTTTCGATACTATTGATTGATTGATTAGAACAATATGGTTTCGCCACATCTGGCAAATACTGTGATTAATTAGTCTCTGTGTTGCATCTTCCCAGTACCATGTCTGTAATCTCATATATGTTACAATTTTCTGTCTCTGAGCTGTAACTGAAAATCGTGTTCCAGTTTTCTGGATACCAATCTGAGATGTGTCGATGCTTGAATTAAAAGATTCGTTTTTATTTTAGTTAATCTTCATTTGAAAAGGTGATGATATCCTTGTCTATTCTTTCAGGTGCTTACTTTACTTGTTAAAGTCTACCAGAAGCTGCCATCTCCGGATTATTTGAGCATTTGTCAATGCATGATGTTTCTGGATGAACCGAAAGGTGTTGCTAGCATATTGGAGAAGCTTCTTCGCTCGGAGAGCAAGGATGATGCTTTATTAGCATTGCAAATTGCATTTGATCTTGTAGAGAACGAGCACCAGGCCTTTCTATTGAGTGTTAGAGATCGTCTTCCCGCTCCCAAAACACGCCCTGTAGAAGCAGCTCAGGCGGTTGAAACTACTAGTACTACTGCTCCCAATGAGAATCCTTCGGGGGATGTTCAGATGGCGGATGAAACTCCAGCTCAGACAATTGTGCACGAGACAGATCCAGTTGACGTTACATATGCTGAGAGGCTAACAAAGATTAAGGGAATTCTATCCGGGGAGACATCTATTCAGCTGACACTTCAGTTTCTTTACAGCCATAACAAGTAAGTTACTGTTGAAGTTTCGATATCTTGAAACGAGATATTTTTTCTTCTAAATCGTTTATTCCAGGAAATAATCATATGCTTCATTAATAATGTTGTCTTTCTGTAGATCGGACCTGCTGATACTGAAGACAATCAAACAGTCTGTTGAGATGCGGAACAGTGTTTGCCACAGTGCTACAATATATGCTAATGCCATAATGCATGCTGGAACTACAGTGGACACTTTTCTTAGAGAAAATTTGGTAAATTTTTGTTTTCACTGTAGTACTTCTGTATGTTTGAGGTTGACTGTGTGGCTTAGTGTATTCATCTTTCTTTTCATTTTTTATACTTTCCGAATTGACAGGATTGGCTAAGCAGGGCCACCAATTGGGCTAAGTTTAGTGCTACGGCGGGATTAGGTGTTATCCACAGAGGTCACCTGCAACAGGGTAGGTCATTGATGGCTCCATACTTGCCTCAGGGAGGAGCAGGTGGTGGTGGGAGTCCTTATTCCGAAGGAGGTGCCCTCTATGCTCTTGGCCTTATTCATGCTAATCATGGCGAGGGCATCAAACAATTTCTACGTGATAGCTTACGCAGTACTAATGTTGAGGTAATTAATTAATATCTTACTCGGTATAGTCTCTCTCAATTCCCTATCAGCCTCTTTGTTCAGGGATAATTCGTACTGGGGAAAATATGGATGCAGGTCATTCAACATGGAGCTTGCTTAGGTCTTGGTTTGTCAGCTCTTGGGACAGCTGATGAAGAGATATATGATGATGTCAAAAGCGTGCTTTATACTGACAGTGCGGTTGCTGGTGAAGCTGCTGGCATCAGCATGGGTTTATTATTGGTTGGAACTGCGACTGAAAAGGCAAGCGAGATGCTCGCTTATGCTCATGAGACGCAGCATGAGAAGATAATAAGGTAATGTAGTGGAGAAATTCGTTGGTGATGAGGGTCCGTTGTATTTTTATTTACATTTAACTGATCATCATCTGGTATGTATTTTTAGGGGATTGGCTCTAGGCATAGCTCTTACAGTATACGGTAGAGAAGAAGGAGCAGACACCTTGATTGAGCAGATGACTAGAGATCAAGATCCTATCATCCGTTATGGTGGCATGTACGCACTGGCATTGGCTTACAGTGGAACAGCAAACAATAAGGCAATTCGCCAATTGCTACACTTTGCTGTATCTGATGTCAGTGATGATGTTAGAAGGACTGCTGTTCTGGCACTTGGATTTGTATTGTACTCTGATCCAGAGCAGGTCAGTTTCAGATACGCCCCTACTTATGACCACTAACTTCTATTTCCTTAGTGCTTCCAAGGAATTTGTGTTTTCTATCCTCACTAATGGATTCCGTTGAATTTTTGTACTGTAGACTCCGCGTATTGTATCATTACTTTCTGAGTCGTACAACCCACATGTTCGCTATGGAGCGGCTCTTGCTGTAGGTATTTCTTGTGCAGGCACTGGCCTCAGCGAAGCGATATCCTTGTTGGAGCCTCTTACATCAGATGTGGTTGACTTTGTTCGTCAAGGTGCTTTGATTGCAATGGCCATGGTGATGGTCCAAATTAGCGAAGCAAGCGATTCTCGCGTTGGAGCGTTTAGGTTAGTACAGATCTATTATCTCCAGCATCGGGAGGTAGAGACTATTTTGGTAGACTGAGATTTTATGTATGTTTTGTAGGCGCCAACTTGAGAAGATCATACTCGACAAGCACGAAGATACAATGAGCAAGATGGGAGCGATTCTGGCCTCTGGTATCCTCGATGCCGGTGGTAGGAACGTTACAATAAGATTGCTCTCTAAGACCAAACATGACAAAGTCACTGCTGTTATTGGCCTTGCTGTCTTCAGCCAGTTTTGGTATTGGTACCCTCTGATCTACTTCATTAGCTTGGCCTTCTCACCAACCGCTTTCATCGGTTTAAACTACGACCTTAAGGTCCCAAAGTTTGAGTTCATGTCACATGCAAAACCGTCTTTGTTTGAGTACCCAAAACCCACCACGGTTCCTACAGCTAATACTGCCGTCAAACTTCCATCTGCTGTTCTCTCAACCTCAGTGAAAGCCAAAGCTAGGGCTAAGAAAGAAGCTGAGCAGAAAGCTAATGCTGAAAAAACAACAGGTGCCGAGAAGTCAGTCAGTGAGAGTGGATCTGGAAAAGGGAAGGCATCAGCTGAGAAGGAAGGAGACTCTATGCAGGTGATGTTGTCCTCTTTATAAATATCCATGGATGATTAGTAGCTTCTATAATTAATCGCTTTATTAGTCTAGACTTATAAGGGTTCTTATGTTTACATTCACACATGTTGAGTTCGAGTTTCGGTTTAGGGATGATCATAACCAATGCACTTTAAGATCGGTTGGTGTGATAACGGTTTTAGATTCGTGTTCAGGTCTTTTGATATTCTTTGTTTTTTTGGCATTTTGGGTTGAATTGGTTCGGTTTATCTAGCTTGAACATCCCTAGATTCTCTCTCTTTCCTGTTTAGACCGTGAATTGAAATTCTTGTATCTACGAACTATCAGGTCGATGGCACAGCAGCGGTTGAGAAGAAAGCTGCTGAGCCAGAGCCAGCGTTTGAGATTCTAGTAAACCCAGCTCGAGTAGTCCCAGCTCAAGAGAAATACATAAAGTTACTTGAAGACAGCAGATACGTACCAGTGAAGCTAGCTCCATCGGGTTTCGTTCTTCTCAAAGACTTACGTGAACACGAGCCAGAGGTTCTCTCTCTGACCGATGCACCAACTTCAACAGCTTCTCCTGCAACTGGTGCAGCGGCGGCTACACAAGGAACCACAGCCTCGGCTATGGCTGTAGATGACGAGCCACAACCTCCACAAGCCTTTGAATACGCTTCATGATTTCATTTTCTTTTAAAATTAGTGGAAATTTGTTGTTGGTTTTATTGGTTTCTGTTGAAAGACAAAAGCAGTGAGAAGAAACAGATCTTTAAACTCTTGATACTGCTTTTTGTCATTTAAAATTGGATTCAAGTTCAAATACGATCTTATGTTACTTTTCTTTAATTAGTTTTACAAGTTCAAATTGGATTCAAATATTTAAGGTTTCTTTTCAGCTGATGGGAGAAGACATTTTCGTCTATAGTTACTACCATGTCATAGTCAAATGGATTCAAATATTGTTGAAAAAAAAACAAAAAAAAACAAGACATTATCCGATACTAAATATTCAACTAAATGGACTGAATGCTAGATGGTGATATGTTTGTTTAGGTCTTTCTTTTATTTTGTTGTCAGTTTCTATGGGTCTTTTTAAAAGAACATTTCAGTTTGTATCAATAGGTTAAACGTGTTTCATTACGTAATAGCACTAACCAGTTTTATAATTTAGAATCCTTTACAATATTAGGACAAGTGGAATTAATGTGTCATTTCATATTATAGAAACATGGTGCTGGTGTAATGAATAAATTTAAGATGAAAGAAAAGAAAACTAAATTAAAGGAAACACAATAATTCATTCTTTATCCTTTGTAATCCATATAATTGACTAACAAAAGCCATATCATTTCTTTTTAATAAACAAGTTGATACACAGAAAAAAAAAATAAAAGAGTTACATCCCCACCAAGTGCAAGAACAATCTTTTTCTATTTTATCTTCACAAATAAGTACCACTTTTGTTTCTCCATTTTCTCCATCATCAAGCAAGACAATGGAAGAATTCAATACAAAAAAGAAACAGACTGTGAGGAAACGATCTCCAAAGCTTTTGATAGATATCTTACCAACACTTGTGTTCTGTCTGCTCTTTGTCCTTCACATCAATCAAATCATAACATTTCTCTTTCTTTCCGACAAACAAACCCTACATATCACTGTGAAGGCTAAACATGGAGAAACAGATACTTGCGCCGGAAGGTACATCTATATCCACAATCTTCCCAGTAGATTCAATGATGATCTGATCAAAAATTGTGAAGCGTATGCTGAATTACGCAATAAATGCAAGTACTTGGTTAACTCTGGCTTCGGTCCAAAGATTTTAGAAGACGATCATAACCACACCACTCGGGTCTTAACAACCGAAACCGGTTCTTGGTACTCAACGAATCAATTCATGCTTGAGGTTATCTTCAGAGAGAAAATGAGACACTATGAGTGTTTGACCAACGATTCCTCCCGTTCTTCTGCTGTTTTCGTCCCGTTCTACGCTGGTTTCGATGTGAGACGCTTTTGGGGATACAGCGTGAAGCTAAGAGACCAACTTGGTGAAGATCTGGCTCAATGGCTTAGGGAGAGACCAGAGTGGTCGAAAATGTATGGACGAGATCACTTCTTTGTCACGGGACGAGTCGGTCGAGATTTCAGGAGGGTTTCTGACCAAGATTCAGATTGGGGAAACAAACTGATGCGGTTGCCTGAATTCGAGAACATGACAATGTTATCAATAGAGACAAACTGTTGGAGCAACGAGTTTGCGGTTCCTTATCCTACTTACTTCCATCCAGAGAGAAGAATCGAGGTCAAGAGATGGCAGAGGAAAGTGAGGAAGATGGAGAGACGATATCTGTTCTCATTCGTAGGAGCTCCAAGGCCGGAAATGGAGGAATCTATAAGAGGGGAGATTATAAGACAGTGCCTTGCATCACAAGGAAAGTGCAAGTTTCTTAATTGTGAAACATTGAGTAAAGACTGTGGTGATCCGGTTAAGGTAATGGAAGTTTTTCAAGATTCGGTTTTCTGTTTACAACCACCGGGAGATACGCCTACCCGGAGATCGACATTTGACTCGATTTTAGCCGGTTGTATACCGGTTTTCTTTAACCCGGATTCAGTTTATAGCCAGTACAAGTGGTATTTTCCAAAGGATCATACCAAATATTCGGTTTATGTGCCGGAGGAAGATGTGAAAAATGGAAAGGTTATTATTGAGAAGCTATTGGTTGAGATTAGTAAAGAACGGATTTTGAGTATGAGGAATGAGGTTGAGAAGATTATACCGATGATAATCTACACAAAACCGGGGGCGGTTGGACCGGATAAGATTGAAGATGCGTTTGAGATTGCAGTGAGTAAGGTTCTTGAGAGAGTGTCGTTATTTCAAGATAATGCCACAGATCGATCGAGTTACTACATAATTTGATATCATTAATTAGGGGTAAAGTGTGAAATAAATTATTGCAGATATGAACAATAGTTTTGAGTACGCTCAAATGTATAAAATATAAATAATATATGATCACCTAATAGGATACTCAAATACTTATAAAACTATTACAAAAACACAACAGAGGACAATGTAGAAGCTTTATCGAACTCTTTGGTCAACCACTAGACAAAAAAAGCTTCCAGAAAAATTGAAAAGTACATTAAAAACTCTTTAAACTCTTTCATCTCCCTCTTTGACTTTCCATTTTTCTTTTCTACTATATATTAGTGAAAACATTTAAAAACATGTAGAAAAAAGAAAACATTTTAAAAAAAATCTATAGTTTTAAATATTAATGTAGATATAAATTACCAAATCTAAGGTTTTTTAAACCAATATGCTAAATATCTATAGTTTTTTTTGTTAACAAGATCTATAGTCTTTTAAACCAAATCTACAGGTTTTATAACACATGGAGAGGCTATAACTTCTGAGTTTTCTTCCTTAAGAAGTCGCTTAAAGCTTAAGGCTTCATACATGACACGTGTAGATAAATCATTGGCTAAATATTAATACGACGCCTATACGAAAGCCTATAAAAGGAGATGGGCAAAATGAGAATTTGTTAGCCAACAAAAGAAAAGGAAAGAAACCCTAATTACGAGCCAGAAGAATTAAGGTTTAGTTTCCTCTGCTTCACATAAATCTCAGAGCCGTATTAGGGTTTTTCTCCGATCACTCGATCATGGAATATTCGGATGAGGACATACTCGACATGGAGTCAGGGGAGGAGAGTTCTTACAATGACGAAGGGACGTCCGATATGGATTACGGATTCGCCGAGGAAACATCTGATCAACGATCTCGAGTAAGTTACGTAGTTCTCAAAGAAGAAGACATTCGCAAGAATCAAAAAGACGATATTGAACGAATTTCTTCGGTTCTCTCTGTAAGCCAAGTCGAAGCGATCGCTCTGCTTCTTCACTATCATTGGAGTGTTAATAACTTGGAAGATGAATGGTTTACTGACGAAAACAGAGTCCGTAAAATCGTTGGTTTATTGAAGGAGCCTGTCGTCGATGATGTTAATGACAAAGAAGTGAAGAAAATTGATTGTGGGATTTGCTTTGAATCGTATCTTCAAAAGGAAATCGCAACGGTTTCTTGTGGTCATCCTTTTTGCAAAACTTGTTGGACAGGTTACATCACTGCGAAAATCGACGGTGGTCCAGCATGTTTGATGGTTAAATGTCCTGAGCCTTCTTGTTCTGCTGTGGTAGGTCAAGATATGGTCGATAAGTTTATAACCAAGGAAGAAGATAAGGAGAAGTATTATAGATACTTTTTTAGGTCTTATGTTGAAGCTAGAGGCAAAAAGATCAAGTGGTGTCCATCACCAGGATGCGAATACGCCATTGATTTTGGAACTGGATATGGAAGTGGTGAAAACTATGATGTTTCTTGTTTGTGTTCTTATGAGTTTTGCTGGAATTGTAGTGAAGATGCTCATCGTCCTGTGGATTGCGGCACGGTGTCGAAGTGGATATTCAAGAACAATGATGAATCCGAGAACACGACTTGGATACTTGCAAACACAAAGCCTTGTCCTAAGTGCAACCGTCAGATCGAGAAGAACATGGGATGTAACCATATGACATGCTCAGCGCCTTGTGTGTTTCAGTTTTGTTGGATTTGTCTTCGTGCTTATCCATGTCCCGGTGATTGCCACTTGTTCAAGGGTCCTGACGAGGCTGAAAGTAAGAGAGAAATGGCGAAAATTGCGTTGGACAGATACATGCATTATTATGAAAGATGGGCAAGCAATCAATCGTCGAGGCTAAAGGCTATGAGAGATTTGGAGAAGTTGCAATCTGTGCAGCTTAAGATGCTTAGTTACATTCAGTCCACACCAGAAACTCAGCTCCAATTCACTGTAGAGGCGTGGCTTCAGGTTAGTAGATATATACATGCAATTAAATAACTAATACTATGATTGATAACGTTGCGTAGAAATTGTATTTTTCATTTGTTTATGCAGAATAGAATATAAATGGGAATTTTTTGAGTAAATTGAAAATAACTAGACTACTCCCGGTTTCAGAATTCTATTTTTTTATAATAAATTTTCTAGAATCGATGAATAGAAAGTGTGATTTCACTAAGAGTGTTATTGGTAAAAGGTTGCAATCATCTACTGTATTTTTGGACTTAGTAATGCGATGTTCAGTGAGACTTTTATATTTTTGGACTTAAACAGAACAATGTCTTTATATTGTATGATTATACAATTGCGCAGATCATAGAATGTAGGAGGGTGTTGAAATGGACATACGCATATGGATACTACCTTCCTCCGCAAGAATATGCCAAGAAACAATTATTCGAGTATTTGCAAGGTGAGGCTGAAGTTGGTTTGGAGAGGCTTCACCATTGTACAGAGACTGAGTTGGGACAGTTTGTCACCGGAACTAATGATCCATCTCAAAATTTTGATGAGTTCCGAAGGAAAATAATTGGTTTGACTAAAGTAAACAAAACCTACTTCGAAAATCTGGTGAAAGCTTTGGAAAATGGTCTTGCTGATGTGGAACACAATGAGAGCACAAATCAACAACAGAATCTAAATCTTTTTTCCAATGAAAAAGGTTGGTGACAAGAGCCTAAGGAAGATCCAAGTGGTAACTGAGAGATCTTTTAGCTTCATGTTTATGTTATTTACTGCAAAGAACCGTACGGTTTTACAAGTGGTGATTAGTATTGAGAAGCTATTGGTTAAGATTAATAAAGAATGGATTTTTTCGTTTTTTTTTTAACCAATAAACAACGGTTTTGAGTATGAGAATATTATTGCGAAGATAATCTACACAAAACCCGGCGTGCTTAGAGAGGATAAGATTTTAAACCATATATGATTTTTTAGTCGCTCTGGTTCCAATCGGTATTACTTAAGGGGTATAGTTTCAGGTAAAAGAATATCGCAAATTTAGCTAACTGTTTTACAAAATTCACAATTATTATGGTAAATTGATGAGAATAAGAACACAAGTGTGTTTAAGGAGAATTATATTAGACTGATGAAAAAAATGTTACAGGAACCATAGATTTCTATAGAGATCGATGAAAATATTGCTCGTATTGTTTACCTTTTAACGAAAAAGGGTAATATTGGATTATAAAATTGTTGGAGAACATGACAATGTTATCAATGGAGACAAATTTTTGGAGCAACGAAGTCATATTAGAATGATGCAGAGACGATATTTGTTCTCGTTCGTTGGATCTCTAACGCCGGGAATGGAGGAATCTACAAAAGGGGAGAATTACAAGACAATGCCTTGCATCACAAGGAATGTGCAAGTTTCTTGATTGTGAAACATTGAGTAAAGACTGTGATGATCTGGTTAAGACAATGGAAGTTTTTCAAGATTTGGTCTTCTGTTTACCTTAATGTTTAATTGCAGATACTTTCTCAATAATGTGTAAAAAAACTAAAACATTAGGAACAGAGGAAGTATTAATGGAAACAATTTTAACATATCTATATTTTTAAATATATTAATAAAAAATAAATAAACTATTTTAAACCAAATCTACAGATTCTTAAACCAGCCTTAAATATCTTATAGTTTCTTAAATCGAAAATCTACATATTTTATACACATTACACGTGTAGATAAATCATTGGTTAAATATTAATATGTTACCAAAAAACAAAAAAGGAAGAGAAAGATCCTAAAGTACATGTAAAACCCTATTTTCGAGCCAGAAAAATAGGGAGGGTTTTGTTTTGTCTGCTTCATATATATGTCAAAATCGTTTTAGGGCTTCCTCTTATCACTCGATCATGGATTATTCTGATGATGACATACTCGACATCGAGTCAGGGGAGGATAGTTTGTACAATGACGAAGGTTCCGATATGGATTACGGATTCGCCGAGGAAACATCTAAACGAGCTCACGTAAAATTCGTAGTTCTCAACGAAGAAGATATTCGCAAGCATCAAAGAGATGATATTGAACGAGTTTCTACTGTTCTCTCTACAAGCAAGTCGAAGCGATCGCTCTCCTTCTTCACTATCAGTGGAGTGTTGCTAGAGTCGAAGATGAATGGTTTACTGAAGAAACAAGAGTCCGTAAAACCGTTGGTCTGTTCAAGGAGCCTGTCGTTGATGTTAATGACAGAGAAGTGAATATTGAATGTGGTATTTGCTTTGAAACGTATCTTCAAAAGGAAATCACAAGGGTTTCTTGTGGTCATCCTTTTTGCAAAACTTGTTGGAAAGGTTACATCACTGCGAAAATCAATGATGGTCAAGCATGCTTGATGGTTAAATGTCCTGAGCCTTCTTGTTCTGCTGTGGTAAGTCAAGATATGGTCAATAAGGTTATAACCAAGGAAGAAGATAAGCAGAAATATTATAGATATTTTTTTAGGTCTTATGTTGAAGCTAGCGGGAAAAAGATCAAATGGTGTCCATCACGGGGATGCGAATACGCCATAGATTTTGGAAGTAGAAGTGGAAGTGAAGATTATGATGTTTCTTGTTTGTGTTCTTTTGAGTTTTGCTGGAATTGTAGTGAAGATGCTCACCGTCCTGTGGATTGCGGCACGGTGTCAAAATGGATTCTTAAGAACAGTGATGAATCCGAGAACACGAATTGGATACTTGCTAACACAAAGCCTTGTCCTAAGTGCAAGCGTCAGATCGAGAAGAACCAGGGATGTAACCATATGACATGCTCCATTTGTGGACATCACTTTTGTTGGCTTTGTCTTGCTAGTGGTGGTTACGAGCACGTGTGCCATAGGTTTAAGGGTGATCATGATGATGCTAATGATCAGAGAATTAGGGCAAAAAATGCGATAGATAAATACACGCATTATTATGAAAGATGGGCAGGCAATCAATCTTCGAGGCTAAAGGCTATGGGAGATTTGGAGAAGTTGCAATCGGTACAGCTTAAGAAGCTTAGTGATAGACAGTCCACACCAGAATCTCAGCTCCAATTCATTGTAGAGGCATGGCGTCAGGTTAGTACTTAATTAATAGATATATAATGTATATAGTATATACTATTAAATAACTAAGACATGGTAACATTGCGATACCGTAGAAATTGATTCTTGGTTTCACAAATATATATCTTGTGGTATTGTTGGTTAGAAAGCGTTGTTTTCAGTAAAGAGCGTGTGATTGGTAAAAACTTGCAATCATTATACTATTTTGGGAGTTAGTTATGAGACTATATAAGTGAGACTTTTGTTACAAGATTTTCTTTAAACAGACAGAACGATGTTTTAATTAATTTGATTGATTATACGATTGCAGATCATAGAATGTAGGAGGGTGCTGAAATGGACATATGCATATGGATACTACCTTCCTGAGCAAGAATATGCTAAAAGACAATTATTCGAGTATTTGCAAGGTGAGGCTGAAGTTGGTTTGGAGAGGCTTCACCATTGCGCAGAGATGGAGTTGAATCAGTTTGTCTCTGAAATTGAAGATTCATCTAAAAATTTCGATGAATTTCGGACGAAAATAATTGGTTTGACTAAAGTAACTAAAACCTACTTCGAGAATCTGGTGAAAGCTTTGGAGAATGGTCTTGCTGATGTGGAACACAATTAGAACAGCGAATTTTCTACCAAAAGAAGTAAACCAAATTAAACCATGTAAACGTTTTTTTAATTAGCCGCTCAGAATCCAACCGGTATTAATTGGAATACATGTTTGAGGTTTTTTAATTTTTTTAATTATGATTTCAATCATGATTGATTATGGATGGTGAATGATTTTTTTTTAAAGGGATACAGTTTCAGGTAAAAGAATATCCGTCAAAAATATGCAAATTCAGCTAATTGTGATAGACAATTGACAGATACTGGAAATCTTTGACAGATAAAATCACCAATAATTTTAGCTGTTTGTATTGTTTACCTTTTAACGAAAGAGGCTAATATTGGATTATAAATGTTCTTTTGCTGCTAATATAAGATATTCCTTCAAAGAGAAGGAGTTTCGTACAATCAATATATTAGACAGAAATGTTTCATAAGACATAATTTCTAAGTGTCCATAAATTCAATTAAAGTCGAGGATTGAAATTGAACGATACTTTTGGCGTATGCTCTCTCTTAGACATAATTTCTGTATTCTCTTTTTGGTGTAATACAGTTGTGTAAATGAAAAATCGAGACCTCTTTTTTGACAAATGTAAATCATCTCTGCGTGTCCATGATGGAAAACTTCTTAAAATAGAGAAATCTGTTTGAATAGAATCCATTGAATTCAATTCGTCATTAATGGTTAAATATCTTCTTCTCTTTTGCTAAAGAATTAGGAGAGAAATAATATTCACATATCTATTAGTACTTCATTTGGAAAATGTAATCAAAACCATATAAACAAAGAAAATGGAAATTTGTCTCAGATCACATCATTTTTTATTTTATTTTTGTTTTGTAAATCAATACTAATTTTTAGCCACGAGTGAAAGAAGATAAAGATGATGAAACCAGTTCCAAGGCTTTGGATTGTAATCTCAACTACGTTTGCGTTCTGTCTGTTCGTTTTGTTTCAAGTTCATAACTCAGATTTGATCAGGAAAAATCCCCAAATCACTCATCAGGTAAACAACTTCTTCATCTCCATCGCTTCTTCTTCACATCATCAAACCCTAAACCTCACCAAAATCGCAAATGAAAGCGATGGAAACAGAGCAAAACAGCCCGAGGAAGAAAGAACAGATACTTGCGCCGGAAGGTACATATATATGCACAATCTTCCAAGCAGATTCAACGACGACATCATCAAAAACTGTCGAACACTTATCAAATGGTTCGATATGTGTCCATTCATGGTCAATTCCGGCCTCGGTCCACAGGTTACAGAGTCCAACAACAAGACAGCTCGAATCTTACCCGTGAAAACCGGTTCTTGGTACTCAACAAACCAGTTCTTGCTAGCGGTTATCTTCCGAGAGAGGATGAAACATTACAAGTGTTTGACCAACGACTCGTCTCTAGCCTCAGCGATATACGTCCCGTTCTACGCCGGATTCGACGTGAGCCGTCACCTATGGGGATACAACACAACGGTGAGAGACGAGTTGGGGACAAAGCTAGGGCTTTGGCTCAGAGAAAGACCAGAGTGGAGGAAAATGTACGGTCGTGATCACTTCTTTGTAACCGGAAGGATCGCTTGGGATTTCAGGAGAGGTTTAGATGATGATTCCGAGTGGGGAAGCAAACTGATGCTATTGCCTGAGTTTGCTAATATGACGATGTTATCTATCGAAACTACTGCTTGGGCCAACGAGTTTGCGATTCCTTATCCGACTTATTTTCATCCGAAGAGGTTTAACGAGGTTTTGAGATGGCAGAGGAAGATGAGAAATGTGAAGAGGAGACATTTGTTTTCGTTTGTTGGAGCTCCAAGGCCGAAGATGAATGGATCTATAAGAGGAGAAATTATAAAGCAGTGCCTTGCGTCTCACGGAAAGTGCAAGTATCTTAACTGTTTTGTTTCAGGTAAAGAATGCGATAATCCGGTTAAGATAATAGAGGTGTTTCAACATTCGGTTTTCTGTTTACAACCTCCGGGAGATTCGTATACTCGGAGATCGATATTTGATTCGATTTTGGCTGGTTGCATACCGGTTTTCTTCCATCCGGGTTCCGGTTATAACCAGTATATGTGGTATTTTCCTAAGGATTATACCAAATACTCGGTTTATGTACCGGAGAAAGGGATGAGAAATGGAACGGTTAGTCTCATGGAGTTGTTGGGTAGGATTGATAAGAGGAGGATTTCGAAGATGAGGAACGAGGTTACTAAGATTATACCGAAGATTATATACACTAAACCGGGATTGGTTGGACCGGAGAAGATTGAAGATGCGTTTGAGATCGCAGTGGATAGAGTTCTTGAGAGGGTAGCAATGGTTAAGAGGATGATGGAAGAAGGGAAAAATCTTCAGAGTGAGTATTCACAAAATAGGGATTTGAAAAAACTTGAGTGAAAATCATATGGGAGAAATTTTTTTTTTTTTTGTGGTAACATTTGTTGCATAATTTAAAAAGCTTGATCAGTGATAAATCATTTGTTTTTTTTTTTTCTGTGTGTGTATGTGTGTGGTTATTATTGTTGCGTGTATTAAAAAGCTTGAGTAAAAATCATATAAAGATATGGAATTCTGGGGACTATGTAATTCCACTGTATAGTATAAGCTATAAAATCAAAATCAAGTTATAAAACAAGTTGAATCAAAGTCCAATGGAGTTAAATCAGCTACCAAAACATTCTCCACAATCAGAGACTAATACGGACGACGGTTCAGCCATTCCGGTTTCGACATTGTATTTTCCCGGTTCTTGATTCATGTTCTAAAATCTTTACTATTAAAACAGAATAGTATTTTGTGACTAAACAGATTTTTATTTAGTTTTCTACTATTCTGTTTTTGGATATCTACTATTTATTTTGCCAAACAAATTTTTTTATTTAATTTTCCTATTTTAATAATTTCTGAAAAGTAAAAAAAATATATTTTAATTTATATTTAAAATTAATTCCGAAAATTCAAATTTAATTTTAATTAGTTTATATTTCTTAAATATAGATCACATTAATTATAAAAATTACAAAAATTAGTTGTTATTATCTTTATAAAATAATAAATAAGATATTATGTTCATATTTAAATATTCAAAATTTTCTTATAATAAAAAAAATGATAAACAATATGTATATATAGTTTCTTTTTAATAATCAATTAATCTAAAAATTTAAATATTTAAATTTAATAAATCTGTATATTATATGGTAATCTGAACTGACGGGTTAGAATTATGTTTTTAGAATTATATTCTTTTTTTATTAATAAAACGGTCAGGTTAAAATTATATTTTTGTAATTATAATCAAATTTAATAGAAAAAGTAAATAGAAAAAATTATCTAAACACAAAACAAATGTGTTATTTATTAAAACAATATTATATCTATAAAAAAATATAAATAATATTACAAAATTAGATTAAAAATATAAATTTTCCGTGCAAATGCACGGGTATAAATCTAATGTTCCTTAAAGAATCGTTTTTTTAACTTGTTTTCAAACCAAGCCCCCTCCAAGTGGCTGCTGAATCAGAGTCGGCCCTGAACTGCATATTTTTTTTCATGGGCTGCAAGCTATAGAACAAAAAATTGGCTGTTTTACATATCTTTTTCAATAAATGGGCTGTTTTATCTTTAAATTTTTTCATGTAAATATAGGGGCCGCAAGCCCATGCTTGGTTTGCTTGGGCTCAAGGTCGGCTCTGGCTGAATATTGATGTTTGGTATTAGTCAGTGACATGACATCATGTGATAAAACTTACTGGATATTTTGCTTTGTAATCATCTAAATTTTGACATGACGTTAAGTAATCATATATTAGTTAAACTCAGGTGTGAGTTAATTTAGCAGAATTGGTCTTCCACAGATCAAGAGATAATTAGTCACCGAATAGCTGAATGAGATTTCGTTCGAGACTAACGAATTAGTATCATTATTTGAGCCTTTCAATCTCAGGTTTTGATTTGATTTTACATACCAGACTTGTCTTATGCTTCTATACAAAAAGTGTTTGAGGGTTTGTATTTTTTTTTTTGTTCTTCTGTAAGAAAGGATTGGTTTGGTACAAACCAAACTTTGCTAAAGGAATCATGCTTTTCACGGGAATTACATCATTTGGGTTGATCGAACGGTCCATACTACTTGACCCGTGTTTTAGTAAAAAAACCCGCCCGTTTAGTCGTTCGGTAATTTCTGACCCGGGAGATTCTCTCTTTCTTTCCTAAAGTATGAAACTTTAAATTCTGCGAAAACCGAAAAATCGGAGGACGAATCAGGCCTGAGAAGCTTCTTTGATCCCCTAGTATTTCATCGATTTCGTCTCTCTCCCATTCCCTTCTTGCTCCAAATGCCTTCGTGATCGGGTTTTTCTTATTCCGATCAGTTAAAGTTAGGGTTTTTAATTTTATTTTTCTGATCCGATCCCTCGGGTTACTTGAAACAATTGGTGATGAAATCTGAAGCGTGATATGAAAAGATCTGGATCTTCTCGAACAGACTTGATGCCAGAACTTGCGTTGCGTGGTTTCCGAGACAGCTGTTGATGGAAAGAGAAACAGAGCCAAGTTTGTCGGAAAAGCCGAGAAGAGGCGATCGAGAGGATGTCAAGATAATCGAGTGGGAAGAATTCGACCATGAGCTCACACGGTTATGGAGTCTTTCTTCTGCTCTGAAATTAGCCACAGAGAAGAAGCTAAGCCTGCAGCCGAAACTCGACTCTCTTATTCAGGTTTTTATCTTACTCATGTGTTTTCTTCTTGCATTGTCTTAAGGAAATGTGGATGCAGCTAGCTAGAAACTCAATTGGAAGCAATCTTATGTGTTTTTGGGGACCAGTTGTTTGGTTTATGGCCTTAAATTCGACATCTTGTCATAAAAGTGCTTCATGTTGTTGAGACTCTTACTCTACTTAGCGTTTAAGAAGTTAGGCATATGGTCTAACACTTGGTTGTCTCTGATTTTATCTACTCAATGAGCTTTAATTGATTAGCCCGCGGATTAGCGGGCGGCCAAAATTTTGGGCAGGTTAGTGCCGAATCATTGAGACGCACTAATGAACTTGAAGAAATGCGTCAGAGGCTGGAAGCAAGAAAACTGCTTGTGGACAAGACATCAATTGCTTGTAAAGTCACTGAGCAGGATGTTAAAGAGAAAGAGGAGAATCTCAGTGCAGAAGTGAGATCTTTGCTAGTAGGCGGCACAACTCTTTCCGTCGCTAAAAGCAAATTGCAGGTAATATATCTCATTCAATGCAAATCTAATTTCTTAGGAAGCAAAATGTATCATTTGTAAATTTCCAATGGGGAATATGGTGTTTGGCTATCTCAAATTTGTTGTTACGCATGTTGCTTTGTTTCCTTGGCGCCATCTTTGGCTCTTTCCTTGACCGATTTGTGAATGACTGAATCATAGATACTCGATTTTAGCTTCTTTTTTCTGTCGTAGGAGTCAAACTGCCAACTAGAAGGAGAAAGTGGTTATGCACATCTAAAGATTGTAACGAATAAGCTGAGAAAGAGGCAACAGTTTATGGTATCCCTAGTTTCGTTTATCTATCCCTTGAAGATTGAGGCAGGACCTTCGCAAGACCAAGAACTGGAATCATTTCCAGGTGGCAGTAGATTAGGTCAGTTGTATAATTTAAGTTTAAATCTTATAAGAATTAAGAAGATAGACTTTGATATTGATATCAATGCATGCCAATATCCTCCCGTCATTCAGTCTGATAATGATTTCGTAACTTTGCCTTTTGTTTTTCGTAAGTGTTTGAAAAAGTTCTTTATTGCAGCATCTAACCTTCTTGACTTGCTTGTATCTTATCTATGACTTTAGTAGGAACTAAGCCTATGAGTCAAGGATCCGTAAGAATTCTGGGGCTGCCTTTTAGTATGGCCCCATTTACAAAGATGAGCTTTTTCACCGACAAGAAAGAAGTTCAGAAGTCGGCAACCGCCCTAGGATATGTAGCTCATGTGTGTTCCGTTCTCTTTTCTCGCTACTGATCTATGCATTAAAACTTGCTTACTACTTCAATTTCTTGGCTTTGGTTTTTAGGAATCATTGTTAGTGCATTCTAAGAAATGAACCTTGTTTGGTTTGAAATTATTGATAGAGAGTACTAAAGGCTCCTTCTTGGCTTTTGTAGGCCGTGTTCCTATTAGCTCCTTACTTGGGAGTGCCTATTCGTTATCCTTTGCGCCTGGGTGGTTCCAAAACTTATATTCGAGACTATGCACCTTACATTGAGCCTTCTTCATCAGACATTTCTCCGATTTCGACTCTTTCCCAAAACACTAAATTTGTAGAGTTCCCTCTGTTTCTGGATGGTCAAGATACAACTCGAGCTGCGTACGCTGTCTTCTTATTAAACAAGGTTTGTTAAAAGAAAGTCTTTCAAATTTGTTCCTCTAAAAACAATGCATATTTGCCTCTCCTCTCATCTAACCATTAGTATTATCACATCACAGAACATCGAGCAACTCCTGAACTTTGTGGGGGAAAATAGTCTAGGACCTCGTCAGGTTCTAGCAAACCTCAAGGAGCTAATCCGAATCATCCAGTCTCCAAATTATATAGATTCTTGACGATGATGATGATGACAATAATGATGATGATCAGATATCCAATACTGTTTTCTCCTCTTGTAGATGGATCCATTCCTTCACACACAGCCTTGGTGTCTCTTTTTTTTTTTTTTTTGCGTCTTTTTGAAGTCGACACTTTGTGGGGGTAAAAGGTCAGATTATTTATTTGTTAGAAAACCATTAGACATGGTTTTGTTTTTGTTTCCTTTAGGATGAGACTCATCTCTCTAGGTGTGTGATGTTTTTGGTTTGGAGAAAATAAACTAAAAAGCTTAGTGTAGTTTCTTCTAAATTCTAACTGATGTAATTTTCTTTTTCTTTTTTCCTTGTATCATTTGAAGTATGTTTCAATTTGTAAGTTAATAAGCATTTTTTTCTGAGTCGTTCGTACAAGTTTCAAGTTTCAACGTTCTGTTGGGATGTGTAACGCGTGATGTGATTGATTCACAGGCAACAAAAACACAAGACCAAGGGTAAAAAAGTAAAACTCAAAAAGTGAAAAAGCAAAATGGACCAATAATAGTCTTAGGCGAGGATTGTCCTCTAATGGAAGCTCAAAGCTCTTTACTTTCATCAGTTTCTCACTTTTTTTCCTCTCTCTAGAAACCCAGAATCCTCAAAATTCTCCTGAGAGTGATTTTCAAAACATCACTTTCGTCTACTCTTGTAGTTTACTCTCTGTTTGTCTCAACAATGGTGAGTTCCTCAACCACGATCTCTGCTTCTTATTCATCAAAGAGGTCTCGATCTCCTGAACCAGCAGCCCAAAAGAAGATTACGCTCAAGGTCAAGACCCAACAGGTCTCTCTCTCTCTCTCTCACTGCATCTTCAAGCTTTTTAATGGCTTCCCTGAAAAAATATGTAGTGTTCTGTTTCGCTTTTCACTCTCCCTAAACAAAAACTTCTCTTATTTTAAATTGCTCTTGTTCTCGAGGTTTTATTTTTTCTTCTTAAACGCTATGTGACCAACAGAAAAATCTCGTCTTTGCTTGTCTATACACATTTTAACTATTTTTTTGTTAGGTTAAGAAAAAATGGTTACAGCATTTTCTTTGAAAGATCTTAATATTTTAATTCATTTTTTAAAGAAAAATGGAAACGAAAACAACATTGTGAACAGGATGGAGGAGAGGATGTTTACAAAATTGGGAAAAATGCACATCTGAAGAAATTAATGGATGCTTACTGCGTCAAGAGAAACATCGAGAGAAAGACTATCAGATTTATCTATAACGGAAAAGAGCTTAAACCACGAAACACTCCTGCTCAGGTTTTTTTTTCTAAATTTTTTTTTATATATATCTCACCTCACATTTTAACCTTATTATGTTTTACCTATTAATAACTTTTTTAATTTTTTTTTTTTTGTTTCTCCTCAGCTGAACATGGAAGAAGACGATTTGATTGATATTGTCACCGATCAAGGCGGTGGTTAATCTCCCCGGAATTTCTTCAAAAACCTCCGATTTGATCCCCAAACCAGGAATGGCTCTTTAGAGTCTGAAAATGATTTTTAATTACTTCAAATTTCATTATTAAACTTTTAATTTTAGCTGGTTTGTAGTTGTTGTTGCTGCCATCTTTTAATTCGGAAAATTAACTATTTTCGATGGAAATTTATTATCTTCTCTCTCTCAGTAATTGCGGTTTGCATTAGTTTAAAGTCTGTGAACCGGAATATCGACAAAGCTTTCACCGGTTTATAATCTAAACCAGATAAAAAAATTGGAAATTTATGGAAAAGTTTCATGTAAAATAATCAACTTTCTTACAAGTTTTATGGTAAAGAAAGAAATTTGTCGTCTTTTTCCGCTGCAACAAACATTAATTAAACAATGGTGGTAAACTAAACTGTGCAATGAAGTCGATGTCCTTTTTCGTCGTTTTAGTTCCGAGTGTTATCATCATCGTTGTTCATGGTTTCTCAACGACGCTTGAAGGTCCGTTTAAGCCCGAGACTGCTTCACTCGACCCGAATCTTAACCCGGTTGCATTCGACTTGCCAGAATCCGACCCGAGTTTCGTAGAACCCAATTCGAAGTTTCTTCGACCCGAACAGATCTCTGTCTCTCTTTCGTACAGCTTTGACTCCGTCTGGATTTCTTGGGTCACTGCAGGTCTCTTTCACTCTTCAGCTTTCTTCTTTTTTTTTTATTGTTTTTTTTTCCGGTAAATTTGGATATTTACTAAAAAGGTCGAAAGATTCTTAAATTTTGACTTCTTACGTTTTGCTTAAATCTGTATAATCTAGTTAAACTTTGATTTTTCCTCATCTGATCTTGTTGAAGCAAGATCTGGATCTTCACTTTAGAAACTTCCACAATTCTTGTTCCGGTCTACAAAATTTCCGGTTAAGCTGATAATCTGGGACAAAAGCTGTTAACTTTTGTTCCAAGTTCCAACTTCAAGATTCTGTCTTAAAAATTCATTTTTTTTTTTAACTCTTGAGAAACAGTTTGTTTTTCTTCTATTCTTGCATTTGTCTGAAGCAATATTATTGTATTATTACAGAGAAATTTCAAAGCGGTTCTGTACAAAGCATAGTCCAATACAGTGAATTCGATGTCGTTTCTAGAAACAAAACTGCAAAAGGCCATTATCTTGTTTATAACCAAGATGGAAATGGTCTCAAGAACTATACTTCAGGGAAAATCCATCATGTTCAACTCACAGGTCTTAAACCAAAGACACTGTATCAATACCGATGCGGAGACCCTTCTTTATCAGCAATGAGCAAAGAGCATTACTTCAGGACAATGCCAAAGTCTACATCCGAGGATTACCCGCACAGAATCGTTGTTGCTGGAGATTTGGGTCTTACTTACAACACATCAACTGTTTTGACTCATATTCTCTCTAACCATCCTGATCTTGTGGTTTTAATCGGAGGGTTTAGCTACGCTGATACATATCTCGCTAATAAGACCAAACTAGATTGCAGTTCTTGTCAGTGTGACCAAGAAACCAGTTCTTATTGCGATTCTTGTTATAACAGTCGAGAAAGTTATCAGCCTCGCTGGGATTACTGGGGAAGGTAAACAAAAGTTCTATTCTCTAGTGATTTCATTTGGTGGTTTTTAAACACTCAATTCTTGAAGTTTTGATGACAGGTTCATGGAGTTACTTACGGCTAATGTTCCAACCATGATGGTAGCTGGAGAGCACGAGATTGAGCCGCAGAACAATAATAATCTGACATTCGTTGCATACAGTTCAAGATTCTCATTCCCTTCAAATGAGAGCGGATCTTTTTCTCCATTATACTATTCCTTCAATGCGGGAGGAGCTCATTTCATAGTGCTCAATTCATACACACCATATGATAACTCATGTTAAGTTTCCTCCAGGGTTTTGATTCTTCTTTCTTAAAGGGTTTGAGTTGTATTGAAAATGGCTTTCTGATTTCATGAATTTCACATTTCTTTTACAGCTGATCAGTATGTTTGGCTTGAAAGTGACCTGAGAAACATAAACAGATCAGAAACTCCATGGGTGGTTGCAACTTGGAGTCTTCCTTGGTACAGCACATTCAAAGGGTATTACAGAGAAGCTGAATCCATGAGGACAAATCTAGAAGATTTGCTCTATAGCTACCGAGTCGATATCATCTTCAATGGTCAAGTAAGGTGTTGTTCTGTTGTTAGTGTTCCTTTGCTTCTGCGGAAAATGCTCTTTTCACTAATTTCCCTTCAAAACCTGAATTAGGTTGATGCCTATGAGAGGTCAAACAGAGTCTACAACTACACATTGGACCAATGTGGTCCGGTTTATATCACAACCGGTGCAGGAGGAGGTGGGAAGCTGGATATTGAACATGCAGATGACCCAGGAAACTGTCCAGACCATTCTCAGAAAAACTCTGTTGGATCCTGCGGCTTTAACTCCACATTAGGACATGTAAACGATGAGTTTTGCCCTGTTAGTCAGCCAGACTATAGCGCGTACAGAGAGAGCAGCTTTGGTTTCGGCATGTTAGAAGTAAGTCTCCTCTCTTATCTATATCGCTTGGTGTTCAAGTAACATGGTCCAACTCGGAACTGGTTTTGCTGTACCAATATAAACCAGATGATTTATTGTAGTTGCAGAAACCGAATTCTTATTTCTACTTTTGGCATATTTAGGTGAAGAATGTAACGCATGCATTGTGGAGCTGGAACCGGAATCAAAACTTTTACTATATCGCCGCAGACATTATATATATTGTACGTCAGCCTGACATCTGTCCGGTTTATACCTAAACCAAGTAGTTATACCGGTAGATTTTGTAACGTTTTACGGTTTACCGAGCCATCATTTATAACTTGGCTTATTCGTTAGAACTAGAACGGACCTAAAAATTCTTCTGAGCTCAATTCAAGTTTCAAATAAATAATTTCAATTCTTCATTGATACCTTTTGGTATAGATTAGGTATAGCCTGATGAAGAATCTATACTAAAATTACAATGAAGCATAATAACAATGAGTCCATGATTACAAATTTACAATTGTAAAACAATAACAATAATTAGCTTTGCAATTGTAACAATAACTTTTGAAAAAGAAATAGAAAACTAATAACAATAATTACAGCTGTAAAACTTTTTTTTTTGGTAGAATTACGTAACTAAAGGAACCCTCCAAAACGATTAACTTTAGTTAGCAGACTCTCCATTTAGCTAAAGCACCAATGAAAATTCCGAAATCGTTTAGTTAACTTCGTCCTGAGAAAACATGGCGATGTTAAAGACAATTTTGGTTTTATTTCTCGTTTTGTCAATTACTCTGGCTCTTGAGGCGACTAAGATCAAAAAGGAGAATATCATAACGTATGACGCTCTGCGTGTGAATCATGCATGGGGATGTTCTCCGAAACATCCTCAGTTTTGTCAGAAAACTCAGGCAAATCCATATACGAAAGTTTGAAATTTTAGAGATTAATGGAAAAACAGCTTGGAGTATATATTATATCAAAAGACTTCAAGAAAGATATCAACGAAGAGATTACGGAGGACGACGATGGAGGCGAAAATGTAATGTTTTATATATATTCAGATTTTTGTTTCTTATACTACTCATTTTCTATTATTCATGTTTTAATCCTTCCATAAGAACTTGCAATTTTTATATGACAAAAAAAAATTCGCGATTTAATGTGTATTATACGGATTTGAATTCGAGTGATACATTAACAATGTTGACACAAAAAATATAAATTATATCCTGAGAGGGGGATCCTCCTAGTCTACTTGTTCTCTTATGGAGTAAAAGAATGTATACCGTGTTTGTCTTTGTTTATTGTACGTGTAAATTTTTATTTTCAAATATACTAATAAGAAGTTTTGTGCTTGAAATTTTATTGTTTTCGGTTAGACTAAGATTATATGAAGAATGAATAACATATAATTTTCGTGCTATTTTATATAACTGAAAATAATCGTTGCAAGAACTCGACGAAGACCATATCTCAAACGAAAACCATATTCAGTTGGTTTAATTACATAAAACGTTTCTTTCTTATTGGAATAATCTTTGGGTTTGATGGTTCTAACGTCAGTAAAAGATATTTGGATTCCGATCGACGATCTGATATCCAGTAGTTTAACAAAACGGGTTTTAGATAATTATTATATTTGTTTATCATGATAGATACTATTTTTTATCGATATATAAAAATAAATAATATGTGTGACTTTGAGCTTTATAAAAGAAGCTTGTGCACACTTGATTGATTCAAAAAGTCGTTAAAGTGAATGAATACTCTACGAATACTATTACATGTCTCTCTAAAATGAAATTGGACATATCACATTTACGTTATACCTTCACCATTCCCCTCATGTCTCTCCTATCTCCTTGTAATTGATTGATTAATTACTCCTTCGTTTGTCAAATATATTTATTCAATTTATAAAAAACTACTTGTATTATACTATTTCCTTAATTATATATTATTGCTCTTAGTAGAATATTAAATAAAATTTTTTTGAGGTTTTTTTGGTGAGAATTATGGGAAAACATTTGATGTTTGGAGACGTACGGGAGAAATATATATATATATATATATATATATATATATATATATATATATATATATAGTTATAGTGATACATCTCTCAATAGTCTCGTGACCCATATCCGGCATAATTAGCGAATGTCAAAACTTGTTCAATATATATCATAATTTCTTCAGGTCTGGCCATATGCATGAAATGTGAAAACAATATATTGATATTAACATTTCCTTTGATAATGTTAACTTATTTGCTACAAATAAAAGATTGGTTACATCATCACATGTAAACTCATATCATAGGAAGCGACCATTAATATTGGTGGGTTTGAAAAAAGTGAGATTCATTGATTTCAGCCACGGCTTCTCCAATACAATCGCCACGTAGGTTTTGCTTGCGCCGTCGCCACCGGCTATAACGTCATCATTAGCCGCCACCACAAGCCGGTAATTTACACCGGAGACTATCTGAGACTCGCCGCTAACAACTTTCACGAACTTCAGTCCAGATTTGCTCTGCCTATCATACTCGGAGACCGCAAATTCGCCGATCTCCACGATGTGAGGATCTTTGACGTCGCTGATGGGACTCCAACCGTCGTAACGCGCCGCCACAAACACGTGAAGAGGGAGGAGAGCGAGAGAGATGAGTAGAAGGAAGATTACTTTATTCATTTTTGCTTTATTTATCAAATCAAATTATGGGATTAGACTGGTGAGTGTTTTAGGGCTATTATATAGTAAAGGCTTGCTATGCATGTTGCATGACGTGGCTTTCACTCTTAAATTTGTTTCACATACTTAATTTCTGAAACTTGGTATAAGTGAGGCATGTTATTATTTGACTCACACACGGAAAAAAAAGTGAGGAAAGTTATTATTTGACCCACACACAAGAAAAAGTGAGGCAGGTTATTATTTGACCCACAACACAATAATAAAAAAGGGAGGCAAGTTATTGAAATATTTAATAACATTTATGGAATTTTTTTTTTGATAATGTGATAACATATATGGAAATGTATTCAAATTAATTTTGAATTCTAAATATTTTGGTTTCCTGTTTTGGTATCTACATTATAATACTGTAAATAAGTTAATGCTTGTATTTGCGATTATATGAGAGAACAAAATTCGTCGACAAAAAAATGAGAGAAAAAAATTCAAAACAAATTTAATATTTTTAAAGGAATAGAAAACTATTTTAGCTCGTGGTTAAAAAAACTATATTTATTTTTAGAATTACGAAGAAGAAACAAACTATTAGACTTAAGGGAACCAACTAAAACTTAATTTGGCTGTAATTGACAGCTTCTAGTTTTATACAAATCAGAAAAAGTTATAATAATTCACGCTGTACTCTTTTTGTTAGAGTGATTCAGTTTTCTTCAACTGTTCATCGAGTAGTTTGTTGCAATTATAACAAAATCTTAAAAACTTTCGATATTTCTCAAGACGCAAAACTAATTTCTAGCCACTCTAGCAAAAAAAGGATCGTAAAATAACAATATATATCAACATTTTAGAAGGATATGCCAAAAAAAGAAAGAAGCATAACAATCGTGTACCCTCCCATCTCCTTTATTATTTAAACATCGATAATTCTCACACAAACAATCCAATCTTTCTCTAGGTAAATTCGAGTTTTCTTTTCTTAATTCAATTAAAAAAAGAAGAAGATATATATGGCTATGTCTAAGAAATTAATTAAGGCTGTTATTTTATATATGGCTCTTATAATGGTGTTCTTCACTCTTGCAACAATCAAGACCAATGCACAAATTGTGATAAGCTACGACGCTCTCCGTGCAGATCATGCATGGGGATGTAATCCGAAGTATCCTGAAACTTGTGTCAAACAAATGGCCAATCCTTAGATTCAAAGACGTGAGTTTGATCCGCGCGAAGTGCGGTGTGTTTTTTTTTTTAAAGTTTTTTCTTTATTCTATCGTTCAACGAATGTTTATTCCGGGTTTTAATTTAAATTGCATGTTGTTCGTCGGTAAAGTCAAAGTTACAGAATATGTGATCATTAATTTGTATATCTTTTATTTTTAATATAAGTAAAAAATATCGCTGACTTACAACATGTATTTTATTTGATAAAATACTAAGAAGAAACCGAGTTCAATATTCTTTCATATCTCCTGCGCATATCAAAATCAGTTCAAACACGTTTGTGTTATTGTGTATGAAGAAGAAAAAAAAGAATTCTAACATTTTTCTTCAGTTATATTATTTGAATTGCTTACTGTTTACAAAACAAAAGCAGAAGCACACAAACAATTTTTAACAAGGTTTAGTAGCTGGCTAGCTGCTTATATCATCGCACCTTGTTTATGTTATTATTATTGAATACACTCACAAGTATTCACTTGCCTATGTCCTTCCTAACCCAATATTTCATTATCTTATATCTTCCTAATCTCTGCATTACTATCTTTTTAATCTGTGGTTTCATAATCTCTTGATAGTACCTCATTAAATCCCTTTGAGGTATGCATAAATTTAAAAGTAATCTTCGCCACGTCGGCTTTCCATTAAGTTCTAGCCCTTTCTGATCCACCAACTTTGAGTCGGTTCTGCAACTTCTATATTTTCACGTTCGGTAAACTACAGTTTTTTCATGGAAAATAATCATAGCCAATAGAACTTACAAAGGTCAAGTGTCTCATTAATCAATTGATATGTTGGAATTGTTACAATTATTATAAGGCTTCAATATCTTTTCAAATCATTTATTCCGTTTTCTTTAAGTTATATCTTTAGACGACCATTTTACATTTAGCCCTGTATTAGTATAGTTTTAGAAGAATATAATAAGTATAGCTTGTTAACAACAAAAACAATCACATTTGTTTACTAAAAAAATCCACGCATACTAGTACTAGATAATTAAAATTTCATCTCATACGTATCAATGTTTTTGTTTAGTATTTGTATTTTCGAAAACAAGAGCGATGATGTCTAAGCACTCGACGCAAATAAGAAATTAAAAAGTAATAGATAACCGCAACAGTCAACAGACATCGACATTTTAAAACTTAAGAAAACTAATTAGCCCCTTGCATATTTCACTGTCCACTCTATCGCAATTTCCTCGTAAGCTTTCCGGTTTTTCCGGTACAATCTGGCGGCAGGATTACCAGGAAAAAACGGTTCAACCGGGTCAGACAAAACCGAACATATAGCCAGCAATACCAAATTGATTGTCCACGACGGTGTCCATCGTGATCCCAAAATATCAACACTGATTTCTCCACGCTCGTTTATATTTGGATGAAATATCTGAACCCAGACAACCAAAAAAAAAATTAGACCGGAAACTAAACGTTAACCGAAAAACTAAACCGGTTTTCTAAAATTTGGTAATTACCTTGGTCTTGAATGTGATTTTGGGTGGTTTAAAAGGAAAGTCCTTGGGGATGTGAACGGACAAGACGAATACTCCGTTTTCGAAAGGGCAACTCGCCGGGCCTTTAATGGTGGCTTCCCACCGGAAAACATTTTCCGGTGAAACTAACCATGAGCTAACATGCGCCATGAGGATGTGATCTTTTTCTCGACCTATTTCATTCCATAGCCTTATCTCCGATGATAATTTACGGGATTTTTTTGAGGTAAACAATTTACCAAAACTGAATCTTTGGAAGAGAATCATTTTTTTTTCCTCTCTGTAATTTTTTAGAAACTTACGCTCTCCATTCTCTTTATCTCTCTCAACTTGGATTTTACTGTGTTCATCAGTACTTAAAACTTAAAAGGACACATACCATTGACATCAAATATATATTATATATTCTTAACCGTATTTCTTCTATGGATTTACTTACACGACAAAACTATAGTTAGTGCTTTCTCGAATCATTACGAGTTTTTGTTTTTGTTTTTTGAACCATGATGTATACGTAATACGGTGAATACATTTATTATTTACACGGCGGAAAATACCTAGAAAACTTTTTTATTTTGACGTTCAATTTCAGAAAATTACAACACATTCATTTTCATTTTGATTGGATAAGAAAAAAGGAGTTAATGCTTACATCTTGTTTTATTTTGTTTTAAATGCTTAATTTGGTAAACTGTATTCTTAATCTAACCTCGTAATACAATTTGTACAGACGATTAATACATCAGAATTAAATAAACTAGGTGAATATGTGCAGGTTTTATTTTCAATTTTTTTAATTTCTTTTTATATTTTTACAAAAAATTAGTATAATTATCATTTGTTATTTACTTACTTGTTAATATTTTATTCAAAGAAAATTAAAATATTAAATATTATTTAATAATTTAGAGTTATATTAAAATTAATAAATACCATCAATATTTTTAATTAGTTATAACATAAATTTTTTTTAACATTTACACAAATATTAACTAATAGTCAATTAATAAAAAATTTTAAATTAATAGAATCATCATTTCATTTGTTACTTGCTAGTATTTTATTATAAATAATCTTTAAAAAATAATTTAAAATATATATTGAATATTATTAAGTAATTTACAGTTATATAAAAATTAAATACATATCTATCAATATTTTTAATTGGTTATAACATAAATTTTTGTTTAACATTAATATAAATATTAGTTAATAGTCAATTAATAAAACAAACTTTTCATATTCTTTAAATGCTTTAAAATTTAATATTAAATTTTTATTAATTAAAATTTAAGTGACATGTGTCAATTTTTCCAATGCTGATGTGTCAAGCATATAGAGAAAGTTGAGCAACTTTTGTATATAAGATAAAAAATAATCATATTATTTATTTAATAATAATAATATCTAATTTTTTTCATTCATATTATAATTCACATTTTTATATCAATACAAAGTATCTTATTTTGATGTTAGACCAGTTAGATAAACATATTAATCTAATTTAGTATAGTTAATGTATAATTTTATTCATATAAAAAATACTACTAAAATTAATTATAGAATCAATAATTATCTAGCATTTATGCAATTATATTATAAAATAAATATAACTTTGATCATTATTTATAATTACATAATCATTATATATATTTGCAATTATAAATATCAGCTAACATTTTTATAACTATATTTATATATATTATATTTGCATATTCTAATACAAGAATTATGGTTAATATTTACTCCGCACATAGTGTGGGTAATCAACTAGTGCATTAATTATATGGCAATAGTATTTCTCCAATGATAGTGACATGTGTCAATAGAAAAAGTTGAGCAACTTTTATATATAAGATATATTCTCCTTGTATTCTAAATTTCAAATATATATTTGATTGAATAAATGGAATGGTTGGTAAAGTATATTAATGGTAACCACAACTTGACTGGCGTTTTGTTGATGCATTGCCATATTAAGTTTTTAAAAAGCATGTGCGAATCATCAACACGTTTCCATCTATAAGAAAAGAAAGAACAATGGCTTTAATAATTGGAATGTTTTTTTAATAATAAAAATTGTTGTTAAAGATTAAAATCTGTTTAATGTATATGTAATTAAATGGCTTAACGTAAGGAATTTATAAGCTGTTTTTTTATTTATCTATAGCCCGCTTTGGATCTATCATCTATATGCACCATTAGAAGCAATTTGGTTACAGAGTTTCTAAAAATGTATGCCAGTTGTAATATTGCCAGACCAGTTATTGCTATCTGCGTAGACACTTTGAATGACGTCCATTCCACTAATATTCGAGAGAGGCTTCACTTGTATTGCGTATTTCATAAAAAAAATATTGATAACTAATTTAGCTCATATATCAAAGACGTGTCTTGAAACAATTACGCGTTTATGTTGAATAATTTTGACATTATTCAAGTTGATGGTTATTTATATTTGTTCTAGAAACTGGAACAAAATATTATAAACCCTTGTCACCAGATAAATGCCTTGTTTCCTAGGAAAGCTATTCAAAAAAGTTTAAACCGCTACGCTACTATACTTGCCCTAAAGAAATAACTTGTTCTGCAAGTAACAAATTTAAAGCTCTTCATGTATCTAAACCCTGATTAATATAAAAAGGGTAAAAGCAAAACTGTTTGATCAGGGAGTCATGCCCATCAAGTCATCGATCTAGCAACGGTCTTAGACATAACTCTGTCTCTCTGTCTCTTGAGTAAGTCTCTCTTCTGTAGATTCATACAGAACTCCTTCCAGCTTCCATGATCCCATTGTGAAAGTAACAAGATAACCGCTCTTAATTTTCCCATAGACGAGTCCGATCACTGAAACAGAGATGATCTTTTTCAAAGCTTTGAAGAATTAATAGATGTTATTGTTACTGTGAAATAGCAATTAAGTGAATGAATATGCATTACATGGAGATGGAGGAAACTGGCTGCGAGCTATGAAGAAATAGATGATCTCGTAATCATGAAGTAGCGAGTAGTAGTGTGAGCGCAAGCGCTGGCTGTAGATTAAGTTTTGCTTTGCTCGGGGGAAGTTAAACGAAGCAAAAACATCATTCCATTGATTCTCTCTAATTACCTGCAAGAACTCAAAACAAAATTAGGCATCAAATGATCTGATGATGATAAGGTTACATGTAGATTTCCGAATTTCCAACCTTCATGATGATGATGATTACATATTTACCTGTTCGATTCCACCACGAAAAGTTACCTCGACAAAAAGCTTATGCAAGTCCAAATCCCTAAATTTTACTTTCGGAATCCTACAATATCATATATATACATTTCAACAATAGACATTATATTAGGGATTGTTGATGGCAAAAGCTGTTGCAACTCTATCTAGTTATTGGTTAAAGCATGAGCATCCAAAGCTTCTTACCTTAATTTTTTTCCCATTTCAGAGTGTAGCTTCTCCAATGTAGACATGAAGAGTTTCTTATCAGCCACCACTTGCTCGTAGCTTGCAAGAGGAGATGGGATGTTATTCATCGATACTGAGCTTAGATCTTGAGGCAATTCCCAATCCATTTTTTAACTTTCTGCACACACCAAAAAAAGAAGAGACTTTAAGAGAGACTTAAGCACTAATTACAATGTTATTTCTGTTTCAGAAAACACTAAACTATCTTCAGAGAGGCAAATGGTCGAACATCTTAAGTTCATAAAGCAAACATTCTCAAAACACAATTCAAAACATGGAGAAAAGTTATGCAGAGAAGTAAAATCGAAATGAAGAAGAATTCGCTCACAAATAACGATTCATAGAAACAGAACTTCGAAATCGAGCAAGAGAAACAGTAGATAACGTTGAGAGAAGTCGGATTCTACTTCTTCCTCTGCTTTTTGTGTACAAACATGAAACAGATCCAATCGATTGTAAAAACGAATTTATGATAGAAAAGCAAACACTCTTTACAAGATTCATAGCAAGATATATCTCTCGTGAATGAAGATTCTTGAGCACAATACAGAGATTTTCCAGAAACAAATTTCCGCAAAACATCACAGGCATCATCTTGATCTCCGAAAGATTTAGAAAAAAAAGAAGACGAAAGAGCCCATTTTCAGGGATTCCCGCGATACAACAAGAAAAACCCAAGACGCCAAAACGGAAATAGAATAAGAAAAACAAAAGATTTAAACAAAATTGTCACCTTTGATTGCTCGATGACACAGTCGTGTTTTAGTCTTTGACTTCGGAGTATATGGAAAAAATCGCAGCTTTACTTGTTTTTCTCTTACTTTCTTTTAATGGCAGTGCGTAAATATGACCTTCCTCCGTCAATCTTTGAAAACGACTAATGTATTTTCCGATAGATTCAGAGCAAAGAAAATGAAAGTGCCATTTTTCAAGGTGACACAGTAGTGTTTTTGCCGTTTAAGTATCTGAGCAAAGTATTAATTTTTTTAATGTAATTATTGATAGTACTTTTTAACAACAGCTCGGTTAAAAGGACCAAAACAAACTTGGATTTGAATCTCTTTCCTGAGTTTTCTCTGTGCCAACTATAAACCCATCTTCTCTAACCAGTGAGAGATCCCTTGTAGTCGAAGAAAGCTATACAAAAACGTTAAAACGCTACTATACTAACCCTATAGGGATGTCTTGTGCTGAAAGTAACCTCTCTGAAACTCTATCATGTCTCTAACCCTGTGCAAAAGGACCATGAAAAGAGTAAAATCAAAACTGTTTTAGCTATATCATGTCTCTAACGTTGTCTCATCCCAAGGAGATCGTTTTTCCAATTCGGAGTCAGAATAGTAGTCCTCGTCTTTTTCTGAGCAGCTACCACTTGAGGAGCCTTCCTCAGAATCTTCAATTGGAGCATCAGCTTCAGTATTCTTCTTTGGAGGCCATTGTTGCAGTGTCACAGCATCAACGATGACCTGATTTATATCAAGAAAACCATCGATAATCAACGAAGACCTAATATCTACAAAACGCAAAACCGGATATAAGATTGTTGATATACCTCTTTTTCCTGTTTTTTGTTGATCTTATTCCACTGACTGATTCCTGTTTTGAAAAGCTCTTGAGGATTGGCTTTATCAGTCAAAGTATTGGGGAAAACATCATAACTCCGTCTCTCTGTATCTTGAGTAACTCTCTTCTCTGTCGACTCATACAGAACTCCTTCCAGCTTCCATGATCCCATTGTGAAAGTAACAAGATAACCATTTCTAATTCTTCCATAGACGAGTCCAATCACTGAGAAAGAGATGGTCTTTTTCAAAGCTTTGAAGAAATAGGTGATCTTGTAACTGTTAAGTAGCAAGTAACTGAATGTGCTTACATGGAGGAAACTGGCCACGAGCTTTGAAGAAATAGACGATCTCGTAATCATGAAGTAGCGAGTAGTAGTGTCTGCGCACGTGCTTGGTAAAAATCGGGTTTCGTTGTGATTTGGGAAAGTTAAACGTATCAAATACAACCTGCCATTTCTCTTCTCTAACTATCTGCAAAAATCCAGAACAAAACTAGGCATCAAATGATCTGATGATGATAAGGTTACATGCAGATTTCTCAACTTTCAACTCTCATGATCATGATGATGATTACATGTTTACCTGTTCGATTCCACCACGAGAAGTTACCTCAACAAAAAGCTTATGCAAGTCCAAATCCCTAAATCTTACTTTCGGAATCCTACAATCATTATATGTATATTCTCAGAAATGGACACTGGTGATTGCTGATGGCAAAAACTGCTGCAACTAAAGCCAATCATTGGTGAAACTATGAGCATGAAAAGCTTCTTACCAAAATTTTGTACCCATTTCAGAGTGTAACTTCTTCAACGTACTCATGAAGAGATCCTTATTAGCCACCACATCCTCGTAACTTGCAAGATGAGATGGGTAAGCCCTGGCAGTGTTATTCATCAAGATTAAAGCTTGATGCAATTCCCAAATCGTTTTTTACTTTCTGCACACACCCAAAATATAAAAAAAAAAATGAAAGATTTAGAGAGAAGTAAGCAGTAAGCACTGGTTTATATGTAATGTTATCTGTTTCAAGATTACTAAAGGCAAATAGTCGAACATTTTATGTTCATTAAACAACCATAACAAGAACGCAATTTGACACATCAGAAACAGAATTCCGAAATCAGAGAAGAGAAAGAGTTAGAATAGTTGTCACAAACTCACGATCCCATAGATTTCTAGATTCTTCTTACTCCTCTGCTTCTTCTTTACAGACAAGAAGTGATCGAAAACACAGATTCAATCGATGCAAAGCGAGTATATGCTAAGAAAAGCAAACATTTACAACAAGACTCATTGCAAGAAACATCTCTCTGTCCAGTCTCTTTCTTGAACGGAGATTCTTGAACACAATCCGTTATTTTCCAAAAATAGATTTCCCGCAAATTAACAAATAATACATTACAGACACACATCGAAACTTAATGCACACGCCATTGAGTTTCCTCTGTTTATTTTGAAAAAGGACGACTGATTTCTCCGATAGATTCAGAGCAAAAGAAGATGAAGGAGCCCACTCTCAGGATTTCCGCGAATCAAGAAGAAAAGGCCCAGGCGCAGAAGAACGGATTGTAAAAGGAAAGATCACCTTCGCTAGATTACACAGTCGCTTTTTTAAGTCTTTGACTCGAGTATTTTGAAAAATCGAAGCTTTCCTTTAATGGTGGAGCAAAAAAAACGGGCCGTAGTTTAGTACTGAATTCTTGAATCTAGTCAAAGCCCAATATGACTCTGACACTAAAAAGTTTCTAAGAAAAAAATTTAAATAGTCATCTCAAAGTCAATATGTATAAATTTATATGTGTACGTGTGAATATCATCGCGGAACAAGAGCTACAGTCACGGTATAAAAAGCCAATTTTAGTTGGAAGTAGTTGTCTTGTCTTCTTTATCGTTTGTATTAGAGTCTAGAGATCTCAGGTCCCATATACGATATAACAACTTCGATATATCTAACGAATTTTCAAATGTTTCAACTATCAAGGGTTATGAATATGAAATTTTAAATGTTTCAACTTTCAATTGTTTTGAATATATATATAGTTTTATAAATATTAATATTAAATTACCAAACAAACACAAAGAAGTCTTCATGTACGGCACCATATGTGTCAAACTTCTTGTACTACCGATCTACCACAATTGTAAGTGCCTTTAGTTCACCCAAATTTCTTTAGGAGTCTTGGTTTCTTGCGAAAGAAGAAATATGTGCGTAGGATATTCGAGAAATCATCACTTGTACATTATTATCTGAACCTTTTATATATATAAAGCGATATGCTTTTTTGAGTTTCTTAAAGCCAAAATATATGTGTCAGAAATTCGATATTTAGTGATAGTATGACCAAAACACGAGAGTTATACTACTTTAGTTTCAAAAATAACATCATAAGATACTATAAAAACACTTTCATTTTTTTTTTTTAACTAGAAGGAGGTTCGGGCCTGGGCCTTAATCCCCCCACGGCCCGGGACCAGCCTTTGCTAATACCTGGTGACATGGCGTAAAGCATCCCTCCCACTGGAAATTGAATTAAGAGCACATGGGACCAACCCCTGCACTTAACCACTAGCCCACTTCATCCGGTGGTAAAAAAAGAAAAAACTTTTATAATACAAGTGAATCAAATGATGTTGGCTATATATTAGCAAAGGCTGTTCTGGTGACATATCTAGATCAAATGATTTTGGCTATATAAACTTCATAAGATTGATATATTTTTAACATTTGTGAGTACAAGTGAATCACCATGTGTCAAAATACTACAAAAACAAAAATGGAGTAAAACCAAATTTGTCTATATGAGACTCTAAGGGTGGATCAACAGTTGCTAAGTATACATGAGTGGATAAAAAACTGATTGAAAAATTAGCATCTTATATACAGTTAAACTTTTTATAAATATATAGTTAAAATAATTGGCCAAAAAGGCCATACTTATTACTTATTAGGATCAAAGCGAGTGAGTAGTAGTTGTGACAAATTACACTAAGATTCTAAAACCACAACCTTTTGTGAAAATGATAGCCAACAACAACAGAAAAAAAAAATTAAATAAAAACAGGCAGGCCAACGACATCACTCAACCTCTCTAGCTAGTAAAGTAGAAAATTACTGAAAAACAATAATACAAATGAAGCTATAGATTCAACATTTACAAACCAACTATATATTGTAATCTTTAATATATATTCAGTTTTTTTTAGTTTAACTCAATTGTTTATCTTTTAAAGACCGAATTAACTACATATATATACATGTATATATGTTGAGAAAAAACAAAATTAACTCCATACAGAAAGTAGTAATGTTATCTTTATATGCCTTTTTATCTGTCTCCATCTCCCTTATCTCATTGCATTCATGGTGGCATTATGTCCGCTTCTCAATCCTTTTAAAGTTTTTTTTCATTTCAAACTGTACTAATATTGACTTCTCCAGTTACAAAGCCAATAATAATTGCAAGCAAAAAGAGAGATAAAGCGTATGAGTAGAAAACAAATCTATCAATGAAGCTCTTCTAAATTTAATAGACATTGATCACGCCATTTGCTGCGGCGACCCAAAGCTTTCATTTTTAAATTTTATTTTTCAAATCGTTGATATGTTTTAGTCGTTACAAAAATATCAAATACTAATCAACTCATAAATTTAGTGAAGGTGAAAGCATCAATCAACTTTTGATGCCTTTTTGTTACTGGTGTCCAATATGCAAAGAGATAAGTGTGCACTACAATGTCAAAATTTCATAAACTTTATTATCTGTTATTTTTGGTTTAATACACCACCGTGCGATAATATATTAACATATTAACAATTGTTTACTAAGATAGAAATTGCTGATCCAATATCTTACATGTCTGCAAATGCTAGAGTCTGTAAACAGTAAGTTTTATAAAGCATGTTGTAGAACACAGTAAATTGTGTATGCTGAGCTTAATATCACTGGAATGTAGTTAAGGACAAAAGTAACTCAATTTGGGATCTTAATGCGATATTTGTTTTCAATATGGGGTCGTTTCATCTTCATAAATTGTTGATCATTTAAGAGACACGAACTCGACATGAGTGATTGGGAGAGAATCATATGTGTCTGAAACTCAGAATATGGATGAAACGTATATGGTGGGGCTGATTTGATTGATAATCCATTCCATACTATTGGGGTTTAATCAAATATTATCTAGTTTTCATTTTCTATGTTATATCAACATCGTATTCATATTTGTCCCCCACTTTCCTCCACTCAATTTTGCAAACATCTTTTTTTTTTTTTTTACTTTGGTTGATTGTTAATTATATCACTAATCATCCAATACGATGCGGCGGTACAAAAAGCAGTAAAATCTTGACAATACAAAATTTTGTCCCGCTACATTTGAACTGCTATCATTTTGAACAAGCAAGGAAATAGAAACAAACTAAACATACTATAAATCTGATAAATAAGAGAATGTTATCGGATTTTAATGTTAGTTAAATAATGTCGTGAAATGTTTTGTTTGGCGGACCAAAAAAGTATCTGAATGTACTTCACTAACAAAAGCTCATTATATATCTCATTAATGCCTTATTATATTATTGGTTACTTGATTTGTACAATAAAAACAGCTCTAAGAACTAGCATAGTAGCACGTAATTTGGTCTTTAATGTTGAAGGGTTTATCATGTTTTTAATTTCGACATATGAAGGCTGGAACAAGTTTTTGCTCTAACTTCTTATCCGTAGATAAATAAAGCATTCCCAAATTTTTGGAAAAGAAAAATGCATAAGATGATGGAAAGAATGAAAATTCAACCTATAAAACTAGCGCGTATTTCATTCAAAGTTTTCAAACGTATCACACGCCCTTAAACAAAAACTAAGGAAAAAGCTCTAAAAGAACAATTGGAAATTTATTTAGAATTTATATTAGAAATTAGAAAAGAAAAGAAAATATATAGAAGCGGACAAATTTAGACCCTCAATATTCTTCTCGACGACACGCTTTGGAGGTCTCCTTCGGTCTCATTTTTCCATACGTAGTTTTTTTCCGTACGTAGTTAAATTTAAGTTTTGAATGATATATTGGAGTAGTATAATAATTTTCGCGAAATCAATGGTTTTTTTTTCTATCATTTAAAAATCAAGTAGAGGCTTTATACGAAGGAAATGGAGAATCCCCTTCGCCATGACACATCACCATAAATGACCAAACCCAATGAAAGGGTGTGCTAATTTCAAACCACGCAAACCTAATCTTGTTGAAATTAAGCCTCCAATGTTCAAACTATACTTCAAAAAAATATGTAAACCCATTTGAGCATTAAATTTAATTTTTTTCTAGAAGAACACACTATATATACACTTCCTTGCTGGCGAAAATCCATCATTCAATTTTGGTCGGTCAAAAGAAATCTAGTAGATCGCCACATATGCTATAAAGCCACTTCATATCATTAAATTCATTCACATTTGATTATTACACATCATCACATGGCGCCAATGGCCGTGGATCGTCTCTGTTTCGTATTACCAGCGGAATCCGGCGAGTTAAAGCCGTCTATAGAGTCTCCGGCGATGGTTGAAGAGACCAAGGAAGAGGAGAAGAAGAATCGTGACTGTGGACGCCAAGTTGTGAGTTTGATCGGAGATTTATTCCGGCGATTACACGGCTCCAAACTGGTGAAAAGCTTGAATCTTTGTATCAACGAGAGTAAAGACTCGATTTTTCCGGAGACTAATCATAGCAAATCGTTCAGTGACATGGAAGGTGTTCAGCTTTCCGACAAAATCGGCTGCGAGAACCCGAGAATCTTTGGATACTCCGAGCTCTACATCGGATCTAACGGTTTCAGCGACGAATTAATCCTCGGAAGCGGCGGTTTCGGCCGTGTTTACAAGGCGGTGTTACCA